TGTTTTATGGCAACTTTTCTGATTATGTCAGACTTTTTTTAACCTACCTTTTTGTTTACAGGGTCTGAGTTAATCTGTCAGTGCTCCTCTCCAACTGCAAGAGCACTTAGACAATTAGTCTACTGCCAGGGGAGATCTGGGGATCGTTGTCGTCAGCGCCGATGACAGTGCTATATTAAGGATGCTTTAGGAATAAGAAATCAATGAGACAGTGGTTTGAAATGACCCAAGGACTTTCCAGCCCGGTGATTTAATATCGCAGTGAATAAAAAAATCTTAGTAAATAGTAGTGGTCTAGAACAGAATCTGCCTGAAGGAATTTTCCGATATTGCTTTTATTTGCTTGTCATAATACATTTCAGCTGCGTTTTCCTTCTCCTGTTCCATATATTATATTAAAGATGAAGGAAAGTTTCCTATTCGGTCTGAGTTTTTCATGAGCCTTTTCTCCTCACTAGTTAAGCAGGAAGACATTAAGATACAAATTTTTAATTAACTGACAGAACAACTTAAGCCAAGTCTGAACGAGGTTCTTCCAGCCATAGATGGGCACCTGGAGAAGCAAGAAGGAGCAAAACCCCTCACTTTGAGCCATGTTTAAGTGTTTCTTTCTTCTTCCGTGCAGAAAGAAACCCTTTTGATCTCACCCTTTTGTAAAGTAAATCTTTGTCAGGTTAAATGCAAAGATCCCTATCAGAAGGCACTTGGCTTTGACAAGCCTGACAGAGCCCTATGTACCCTGCAACAGGGTAATGGCTGGCACTGAAATGAAAAGGGCTTGGATAATGAATAAAGAGTATTTTTGTAGCATGACTCATAAGTAATACAAAGGCAGCTCTGGCAATGTCTGTACTAATTACAGACTAGTTGCTATGTTGTTACAGTTGTGTATATTAAGTGTGTGGGATGCTGAAGTGTGTGGGCATCCTGCTAAGCCTGAGCTCAGCTCCCTGCCACTGAAATCCTGTCTGTCCCAGCTGGAAAGTGGGCAATGTATGTAGGTGCCTAAATACGGGCTGAGGATGACTAAATGTGTCTTTCATTACACTTTTTGTTATTTGTCCCTCTCGGTCACAAACTTTTCGAGCTGTCAGAAAACGTGAAGGATGTCACGTGCTGTGGATTTAAGTGCTGAAGGTGCTGTTGTTGTAGGGTGATGCTCCAGGTTCTTTCCTCCTTGCACAGCAATGCAGATTTCTGTATTTAAGCAGTGCACAGTGAAGAAGGCAGTCCCTGTGCTGGGAAAACTGTGCATGGAAAATACATCCATGGATGTTACCTATCCACAGCTATTGTGTTTTAAACTCATCCGAAGCATGCCAGCAAGCTGAGAGCTCACAGTATGCATCAGGTAAGGAGAACACAAGATGCATGTGTGATTTTGAGAAGCAGGAGAGGAAGAGTGGTTTTGTTTTTGGATTAATTTCTCCATTACCAGAGCACTGAGGACAGAAAATTCCTCTTGCACCATGACCACCTTCTCTAATCGTGCTAACGTGGCTGTAATGAAAACAACATTTAGCCTGCCATTATTCTCCATGTGATGCTCCCCTCAATTTCCTCCTCTGTTGCTGACATTCAGGTGGCTAAAGCTGGAGTATTCTGAGTGTACTTATAGAATCACAGAGTGGTTGAGATTGGAAGGAACCTTAGAGATCATTGAGCTCCAACCCCTGCTGTGGGCTGAGTGCCCTTAACAGGTCAGGCTGCCCAGAGCCCCATCCATGGCCTTGGACACCTCCAGGTGCCAAATGTTACTTAAATAAGGAAAAACTTTAATTGGGTTCTAATGTTTGAATTCACTTTCCTGGCAAGGATTATTAGTGAGAGTCATACCATCCACACCCCAAAGCAGCCCCCAAGAATTAAATTTTTGCAAGCATAATCGCTGTATCGATGCACTGCACTTCAACTTTGTATGCGTTGAATAGCAACTGCCTGTTGTTCTCTGTAGTGTGCATGCATTTGACTTTCAACAAGAGATGAGAACAGACATTACCTTAAATATTCACAAGGAAATGTCAGCACAGATGAGGCAATACAGGGGGAGGGATGGAGGTGGGCTTGGCATAGATCATTTCTGGCCTTGAGGCACGAATAGCTATTCTGGTCACATTATTCTCAGCAATATTAGTCCAATAATGCAATGCAGATCTTGTCTTTAATGGTAGCCTGCAAATTAAAGACACGCTTATTGTTAAAAACACATTGGCTCATGAAACTTGGCTGGCAGCATGCAATTTTAAGCACTGTCATGGGACATGCATTAATTAACCACATGGGGAGAATCGTCCCCACTGCAAGCCATAGGAAGGTTTGTTTTCAGAGAGTGAGCACCTTCACTGCTGGGGAGAGCGAGAGCCCAGGTACCTCCCTCTGAGTACTTTGGCATCTCACAGTTTCAAAGATCCCTACAATTTCAAAGATCCCCTCCTGTGCTGCCTCCTGGGGTGCCTACATGGGGCCAGGCAGTTTTTGCATCTGAAGGCAGCTTAATGTACACAATATTTTTGCTACTTTGCATTGGATGATGGCGGATATTTGCCTGAACCACTGCTCACTTAATGCGGTGTATATTCTTTCTTGTCTTGCCTGCAGGATTTGATATAATGATTTCTCTTGCCACACACAAGGCTTGTTCCATTACCATTTGTTTTTGCCCATGTGCTCACAAGTTTTCATTTCCAGTTTATCTCCCCTTCTATACTTCTGCAAATGCTGCGTTATACTGATGTGCTAGAGGCTCGTGTATTCAAGCTTTCTTTATTCTGCTTGGGAAATCACATCTTTGCCTGTTTCTCTGCATGTGAGCATCAACTTTCCCTGAACATAAGATTTACTGTAGTAGTTGTGGTCTGACTTCTCAAACTGCCCTTCTCCCACCATTTGTAGGAAATTTGCTAATTTGATGAAGACATCAAGGCATCTGGTCTCATCTCAGCACGCTGAATTAGTGGGATAACACCATTCCCTGTCTCCTCTGTGGGAGATCATGACTGGAAAACCAAGAAGGAAAAGATGCTGCTGCTGTGCTCCAGCAGCTCTGCACCGATCCATCTGCAGCACATCAAAAGGAAACCACTGCTGATGGTGGTTGTGTGCAATGCGTAGCAGAGGGTACTGAAATTATTTGAAAGAAATCAATGCAGAAAAGGCAAAAGAGATCCATCAGTGTTTTACATACTGTTAAAGGGAGCAGGTTTGTTTGTGGGATGAAAAATACCAGAACTGGGGCCAGAAAGTCAATCTGAGGGTACAAGTAGGGGATTAGTTGTTCTCTACTAAGAGATGGCGTTAGAAAAGCCAGTTTTACCTGTGATACTTGCTGACACAGAGAATCATCATAAAGTTCCTATTCCAGTTATTATCAAGAAAAAAATGTCTTGAACACCCAGGCTTATGTCTCAACCAGTAAGACATCTGAGAAAGGCATATCTCGTTAAGAACAATGCTTTGAATTTTTGTAATACCGTGGATAATTTTATCAGAGAAGGTTTTATGTGGTGATGCATTACATTAGCCCAGTGCTGTGCAAGACATATGGAAATTAGTGATGGATTAGATTTCAGTAAGCTTATAAAAGGAGTCTTGCGAGACCTTTAACCTTAAAATCGTTCATAGCTGAGCAATCCATTAAAATAAGCATTAAAATAATCCTTGGCTGGTACAGTAGTAAGAAATATGCTGGTGATTAATAGGTTTTGGTTATTTTCTTAACAGTTTAATACATAGCAGCGTGGAAAATAGCCCTGATAATGGCAAACACAAGACATTACTCCATTGGGCAAAAAGTTGGATGTGGAGCTGAGATACGTGTCTTCAAGTCTTGTGGTGGCAGTGATGGCATTTCACGCTCACACGTCCCGGCTGGGTGAGGGCTCTGTTTTACCCGTGTAGTGGTTTCCTTGGTGTCAGAACAGATTATCCTGCCAACACACCGATCTGACAGTCATCTCTACACTGTTTTACGGAGCCTGGCTGCCTAATGTCACCCAGCATAATTTTCAGAGCTGGAAATAGCGGCTTAATGGTGGAAGTGCAAATCAGATTTTCCTGTCGGCCACTCGTCCTGCTGGCAGCATGCAGGGCTTGCTGACTCTGCAGGGAACAAGATCACTGTGAAAAGATTCATCACCAGTGACGAGTGCTGGAATATATATGTCTGCATAGAAAACATTGCCAACCGCCTGCATTTTGGGCTGCTGGTGTGTGGCTTACTGCTGCAAAATAGGAATCTCTCTACCAAGTTGTTCTTAGTGGCTCCTTTTGCTGTTGTTTTTAATCAGCAGCACTGCACGTGGGCTGGGCAACCAAAGGTTGCTGAGGGTCCTGGGTTGTGGCTGGACAATGTGAGCGTGCCTGGCATCATCATTGCTGCCATCCCACAGAGCAGCTGCCTGCAGGGAACCACGGTCATTCAATGGCAAAGTTTTTTCCTTTGCCTCTGGGTTGTAAGCTGAGTTACAAACTCATTCCTCTCCAGTTTTTGTTGGTAAAATCATCTTCCATTTTCAGTGCTGTTTTGATATGGGTCTTCAATTTGATGCACTTTGAACGACACGTGTACACTTGATGCGTACTTTCAGTTCTTTTTAAAATAAATCTCCCACTCATCCAACTCTTCCTGATGCGCTGAGTTTAACAGGAAAGTGCTGCTAACTCCAGTCACTGCCTACTCAGCACTACATATTTATTGATGGTATTTTCCATCACTGATCACAAAAGCTATTTGTTTTATCATTGCAAGAATTGCATTAGCTCTGCTGACCAAGGAAGGCCATTAACCTTGGCTGCAGCAGCTCCTGAAATGAACAAGGAGACAAGGCACACAGCAACTCTGAGAGCCTGCATCGCCTCCCACCTTTCTCTTCCAGATGTCAGGTGTTAGTGCAATGTGCCAGGGCTTCAGATTAGTAATCACATCAATCTGAGCGGAGAACAAGCTGTCATAATTGTCTGCACTAATGAAAATGATGATGACAACACAAGAATCCTCGCCAACCTCATCATCTTGCACCACAATGGCATGGAGTTATTTAAAGACTTATGATTTTAGTCACACATGCACACCTAGGAACAACTTCTGAGGGTGATTAAACACCACAGCAAAGCTGAGTAGTATGGAGAATTTAAGTGTTGTTTGGTGAGCACTGGCATCATTCCTGCTGTTTTAGAGCAAACAAACTCAAAGAAGGCAGAAGGGAGGGCTGGAGAAGTGCCTCGAATTCAGTGTGGTTTGCAAGCTGAGGATCTACACAAAGGTAGAAGCAAAGGAAATCAGGGTCTCCCTATCTCTGACGTTTACATGCAATAAATACAAGTATTTACTGCATCATCTTCTGAGGCAAATGCATAGAGAAAAGAATCCACAAAGTTTATTCAGGGAATAAAGAGCACGAATTCAAATTAGTTTTTGGCAGTCGTAAGAACTACTTTTGTGCAATCTGATCTCCTTCAAACTCTGTCCCCAGTGGTGACTCATGAAACAGAATGTCAAACTATAGTAAATTCAAGGAATAGATGCAGCATTAAAAGACTGAAGGAAAGCCAAAACGAATGTGAAAGTGGGCAGTCAAAAGGAAAAAGAACAAACGGGAAGGCTGGTGGGTGGATGGAGGGGGGAACAAAGGGAACCTGAGGCAAGGAGGTGAACTGGGAACACAACGAAACATTGGGTTCCACAGAATTCTTCTCATATTTCATTATATATTCTCTATTAGCTTATTTGAAAGTATTGTTTCTCAAAAGAAATTTGAAAAAGTACATTGAAGGAGGAATGGGAGCCTCAGGCAAGCAAAGGGAGAAATGCGTTCAGATCAGTACCTTCATGGCTTGTAGACAAGGCCAGGGGAATAAACACTTGAAAAGTGCAGTATATCACAACTTGCTGTTGTCAGTCAGCTAAACATCCAATTTCTGTGTTTCTGTGGAGTATGGAAATAAAGCATCACACATCAGAGTACAAGGCGGTGGTGGTACCTCTTGTCGGGTAGAGGAGGTCTGTGGCCTTACAAAGATGCTCTGATAGCATGTACTGCCAGCCCACAGCTAACAAACAGCCCTGCAAACACCCTGAGCTCTTCACAGTCAGCCTGTATGTGCCGGGAGAATTCTAGGCTGATTTCTGAAGGAAACGAGGTGTTTGCAATCAGCCTAGCTTCTTCTTCCCATGCGTGTCCCTGGACATCCTTTAACAAAGTGTGTCAGTTATGGATTTCCATCAGCCACATTTCAGCATCCATGGAAATACTTGGCTATACCCCAAGGAAAACTTGCAAGCCCCAGAGGGACAGCTAAGGTGGTTAAGAGCATAATTCTGCAGATCTCCCAGCCCTGCAGAAGTTTCTGCAGATCTCTCTCTCAGAGAGGGTCCAACCCCTCACTTCCCAGTCACTTACTGTTAATTGTTCCCCAGTTCCAGGCAACCTCAGTGCTACCAGCAGCATGAGAGGGAACATGTGTTACCCAGAGCAATGGGAATGGCTGCTCCTACTGTTAAGTATGGGACAGGTTCATGCAGAGCTGGCACAGATCTCTCTACTGTGGAGCCTCTGGGATGCTTAGGTCCAAGATGCTGATGGTGCATCTTCTCAGCATCATTCTCCGTTCAAAACATCTCTCCCTGTAGCACAAACACACACAAGAGACAGCTTCAGACCTGCTCAGCTATTCACATTTCGAGTGGCTTATGGATAGTGAAGGGCAGGCTACATGTGTGTTAAGCATCTGTATTTATAAAGCATGAGGGCTCTTGTTATTGCACAGCATGCACAGCATTACTAGGACAGGCTAAGAGAGCTGGAGCTCTTCAGCTAGAGAAGAAAAGGCTCTATGGGGGAACTTACAGAGGCCTTTCAGGACCTGGAAAAGGTAAAAAGAACTGGAAAGCTGGGGAGGGACTTTCTATAAGGGCAGGTAGTGACAGGACAAAGGGAAATGGCTTTAAACTGGAAGAGGATAGATTTAGACTAGATATTAGGAACAAATTCTTTACTGTGAGGGTGGTGAGATGCTGGTACAGGTTGCCCAGCGAGGCTGTGGTTGCTCCCTCTTTGGCAGCACTGAAAGTCAGGCTGGATGGGGCTGTGAGAAACATGGGCTAGAGGGAGGTGTCCCTGCTATAGCAGTGGGGTTGGAACTACATCCTAAAGGTCCCTTCCAACCCAAAGCATTCTGTGATTCTATGAACATATTAAAGATTTTACTGTATATTTCCCTCTATTGATTTAGAATCACTGCATTTCCTTTCTTTGAATTTTAAGCCTTTCTTTCACTCAAAGTAAAAGGAATGTATATTTTTTTCCTGTGCAAGAAGGCATTGAATTGTCTGTAAAGTTGTCTCACTCACACTAAAGGCTCTGAGAAATTGCATGTGTGGGTCTGAAGCCAGTGCTCAGAGAGCTGGGAAAGGAGCAGCAGCAGCACAGAGCTGTGCTGCACATCCTGTGGTTGAACAGATTCCATTGAGTTCCATTAGCCATAGGAGAAAACTTACCAGCCTGCATGGAATTTTTTTGAAGAAGCCTCAGAGCTTCTCTGTAGGCTCTGTAAACTCTCTTATGTGCTGGGAATCTTCTTTCCAGGAAAATCCTAGGATTAAACAAAGAAAGGGGAGAAGGAAGTGCTTTGATTTTGAAGAGGACAAGAGGGAAATACAAATTGGAGACATCTTTCAGAAGAGCACTGGATACATGATGGTGCTCTTCAAGCTGTGTCTTGCATCTTAAACAGAGCTTGCAAGGTTAACAAAACCCACAGACAGACACACTGGGAGTGCTGATTCAGTACATTTTACACAGTCCTTTGCACTAGGAAGCCTGGATGGTTCCCAAGAGCGAGCAATCTGGAAATAAAAACATGTCTGATCAATAAAACGAAACGACTTGAGGAAATCTGAGTTTAGTGTTCTTTAAGCCTTAATTGGCTTTGCACATAGCAGAGGTGATCTTGCCCTTTGCAGCTCAGCTGTTAGAGCAGCATGCAGCTCTACTGCAAGATAACAGCACAGGGGAGCCACTGGTGGCACAGAAGATACAGACCACAGGTGAAAGAAGGGCCTGAATGAAGGTCAAAATGTCCCCTGGCACATGGTGAGCACAGGCTTTTGTTCCTGGGTCTTTCAGCACAACTCTCTCTACATCAGACGTTGGCTAACACCTCTCTGCAGCCCCGCATGCCTGCTGGTTCCTTATTTTCAAAGGCACGAGATACAGACATACAAATCGCCAACATGGGTGAGCTAATCAAAAGGCAAGCATAAGTATTCAAACAGCGTGATCTATTTAAATAGGGAAGTTAAGCAAAATCCATCCCAACTGGCTTTCAACTCTCAGCCCCATGATCTAAAAATCAATTGATTTTTACTTACAGAATGCTAAAACCTCCTGAGCGGAGGCTTCTCTTTTCTTAGCAGCGTATGTGGGCAGAAGGAACTGCAGAGGTTTTACAGAGGTTAGCCAAGAGAAATGGGCCAGCAGAGCACAGGATCTCCTTCTACAAATCCCCTCCAGATGCATTCATGCCTTTGGACAAAACCATTCCAACAGAAGTGAAATTTGCAGTGACATTCAGAGCGAGCCCATTTGAATGGGATTTGCAGCAGTGCCCAGCAATACCCCAGGATGAATTTTTCAGTCATTGCAAGGATTGCCTCCCTCAACACATGTAGCCATGCCAGGCTTCTACTGCATATTTCATCACCTCTATTTTGTAACCTGGCTCTGAAAACTCACTTGGAGCTGAGATGCAACATTATTCCCTTGCAATGTGAAAATCACACCTTCAACTACTTGGAAATTCTGGTAATACAAAAATCAAACCGTACTCAGCATATTTAAGGGCTTTTAAATAAAACACTTAGATGTTGGTGAGAAGCGAGCAGTGTTTTGGGAGGGGAACACACAGGAGCAGCTCACACATCCCATCACGCATCACACATTTAGAAGGAAGTTTTTCACTCAGAGGGTGGTGAT